TCATTTTCTTATATGACGTATAGTTTTATAATATGAAAATCCTGGAGTTTCGTTCCTTCCATACATGGTAAACCGAAGATTCGAGGAGTAACTTGAGGATAGATGTAATTTGAGTGTTCTGCTGATGATGACTTTGGAGAATCCAAGCCGACGCTTAAGACAAAGTTAGAGGCGGATTGTGCCTAAAATTTTCATCAAAGTAGAGCCAAATTGCAGAAGAGAAGGATCATTCGAAGAATAAATGTGCATGACTATCATCCCCATTGGAAACACGTAGGTAGTAGAGACATTCATGCGCCATCTTGGGGTTGGGTGTTTGGTAACAAGTATTCGGTATTAAGGTTTTTCAATTTGGGGTTTTGGTTGGTTCACTATATTTTGGATTCCTTTCCTATATGTTGTATTAAAAAACTATTTTTCGACCCAAAAAAAAAGTTACTTAGCCACTAAGCCATTAAACCGTGGAAAAATCCAAAGCAAGTGGATTGAAGGAATACAAGAATTTATTGAGATGAAATGATTGATAGAGAAATAGTTTTTTTGAACATTATATTAAGGCTCCAAATGGTGACGTTCCGCACCTTCTCGCCCAACACTAAAGAGTAGTAAAAATCTATACTTATACATGTGTATCTAACAAAAACTATACTTATACATGTGTATATATTTATTTTTGTTACTATTTGTTTCGCACCGCACCTATCCCGTCCCGTATTGTCACCATTCAGAACATAAGAACGAGAGGCTCTTGATGTAAACAAAAAAACAAAAAAATGTAAGAGACAGATAGAATCGGATGTTCTAGTAGATAGTGGTTTAGTTTTTTTTTTTAATTAAAATTTAATTATATCACAATATTATATTAAAATATTCATAATATATTGTTTAGAAACTCTTGTGAGTTCTAAACCATTTAATTATATCACAATATTATATTAAAATATTCATAATATATTGTTTAGAAACTCTTGTGAGTTGAGTTCTAAACCATTGAAAATGTTCATACTTTGGTTTCTCGTTTGGGAGTGGGATCCAAAACCAATATTCAGAGGTATCCGATCATGTAATAGAGAGATCCCTTGCATTGATCTTAAAGACTTTATCTTAAGTGCGAGAACAAACGGAAAATGAACAATTTTAGGTTGTCACCAAGACTAAATTGCTTTTAGATTGATTTTTTTTTTGGCCATCTATGTTATATATAATGATTTGGAAGAAAGTCCATACAAAATACAACAACTACAACATCAAAGCCTAAGGAAACAAGGATTTTCAAAGAGACAAATCTTTGTCCTCAGAAAACATAAAACCTAAAACAAAGAAGATAGGGTATTTGATTAAAGAGGAAAGCAAATAATTAAACTCAAGCTCAATCCACGAAGCCACAAGCACACCCACACACTGATCCAAAGAGCACGAAAAAGCCAATTCTGAGCCAAAACACATAAGAAAAGAACATATCCTAAACCTTGAGGCACACCCAGGCACCAGGAGAACCAAAACGCGGCTCTAGGACTAACTTAAC